AAGCACCTGACCCCCGCCTCTCTCTCCCCCGGCCCACCTCTTGGTCACTCAGCCCTCCCTGAAACCTGTCAAGTCTGAAACTTTTCATCAAACATGTCCATCAACCAATCAGCTCCTGTTTTAAGCACCTGACCCCCGCCTCTCTCTCCCCCGGCCCACCTCTTGGTCACTCAGCCCTCCCTGAAACCTGTCAAGTCTGAAACTTTTCATCAAATTGGTCCATCAACCAATCAGCTCCTGTTTTAAGCACCTGACCCCCGCCTCTCTCTCCCCCGGCCCACCTCTTGGTCACTCAGCCCTCCCTGAAACCTGTCAAGTCTGAAACTTTTCATCAAACATGTCCATCAACCAATCAGCTCCTGTTTTAAGCACCTGACCCCCGCCTCTCTCTCCCCCGGCCCACCTCCTTGGTCACTCAGCCCTCCCTGAAACCTGTCAAGTCTGAAACTTTTCATCAAACATGTCCATCAACCAATCAGCTCCTGTTTTAAGCACCTGATCCCGCCCTCCTCGGTTCGTGAAACCATTGAAATAGAACTTGTGTCAGTCTGTCTGTACTTCCATCAACGAGAAGACCTCCCATTGTGTTCCTGCACCATTCCGCATCAACAGCAGAAGCGGAGTTTGCATTAACTAAATTTACAGGTTTGTAATTGTTTTATTCTGTTTTACTTATTTTTATTTTACATGATGCGATTTGATTTTAAATTAGATTTTGCCTTTTCTTTCTTTCTATTGCAGAAACTGATAAAACTCAGTCATGTCAAAGAGATGCAGATCCCCTTCTGACAGCGGTGAAGAAAGCCCTGCCAAAAAATGCAGCTACCTGTACCGAGTTAGATCAGCAGAATGCACGCTTTGATTCTGAAGCGCTAATTACCTTCACCCCGGTCTCGATTTCACAACCGGAAGAAAACCTCACGGGGGCCCCCAAGAAAAGTAATGTTTATATCTGCAGGAGTCAGATTCCACCTGCTCATCTGCTGCACAGTGAGTTCTCCCTGCATAAATTTGGTTTCACTGCAAGTGTGGGGTATGTTTTTGATTATCACAGAGGTAAGCTTGGTCTTTACCAGATTCGAGATTATGAAGAGTTTTCCGTCAACACGCCTCTCACCACTGTGAAATATGAAGACTGGCTTGTTGTAACAGCACTGGTTCCTCTGAAAGATTTTCTCCCCAAAGCAAACCCTGATGGCTCAAAAAAACGTACGATCATCTGTAGTGACCCGRCCACTAGAACCGAGCTGACACAGAAAAAAACGCTCTACCGCGCTTGTTGGACATCCGACACCTGCCATAATAGTGAGTGGAAACTGCAGGCAACCATTTACGAAACGGATCATCTCCATCCTAGTAATATTTTTCACCTAGACAGCGTTAATACAGATTGCGGAGTGTATCGTGCTGTTCTGTCTCTGCCTGTGATTGCGTTGTACACCATTCTGCATGAGTATAGTGCAGCTTCAGAGATTTCCACCCTGTTTCAAACCTGCCACCAGTGGAACGATGTCTTGGCGGTAAAAAAAACATTGGATTTATAACTCCTCATCCTCCGCGCGTGCTCGCGCGCGCACACACACACACACACACACACACACACACACACACACACACACACACACACA